CATTGGACTTCTACCCCTCAATGGACTTTCGTCGATCTTCTACCCGACGTTGTACTTCTACCCGACGTCGGACTTCTCCCTGTCGTCGGACTTCTACTTGCCATCGGACTTCTACTCGTCGTCGGACTTCTGCCCGTCGATAGACTTTCGTCGGTCTTCTACCCGGCGTCGAACTTCTGTGTGTCGTCGGACTACTAACCGTCGTCATACTTTTACCCGTCGATGGACTTTCATCGGTCTTTTACCCGATTCAGTGCTTCTACCTGACGTCGGACTTTTGTCTGCCGTCGGACTACTACCTGTCAACGGACTACTATATGTCGAAGGACTTTCATCGGTCTTCTACCCGATTCAGCACCTCTACCTGACATCAGACTTCTGTCTGCCATCGTACTACTACCTATCAACGGACTACTGCCCGTCGATGGACTTTCGTCGGCCTTCTACCCGACTCAGTGCTTCTACCCGATGTTGGACTTTTGCCTACCGTCGGACTACTACTTGTCGACAGACTATTACCCGTCAATGGACTTTCATTGGTCTTTTACCCGATTCAGTGCTTCTACCTGACGTCAGACTTCTGTCTGTCGTCGGACTACTACCTGTCGACGGATTACTGCCTATCGAAGGACTTTCATCGGTCTTCTACCCGATTCAGTGCTTCTACCCAACATCGGACTTCTGTCTTCCGTCGGACTACTATCTGTCGATGAACTACTGCCTGTAGGCGAACTTTGGTCTGACATATACCCGACACCAGACTTACGCCCGTCGTTAGACTTACGCCCGTCATCGGACTTCCAATCTCCTTCGCTCATCGACAACCGTTATTCCAATCTACGTCGACGACTATGATCCTTACTACCTCCTTCGCCGACAACGGTCCTTGCAACTTCCTCTGCCAAATACTGTCCTTATGACCTTCTTCTCCAACTATGGTTCTCCCCGACCTCCGGTGTGAACCAACTACGAATCTCTCTTGGTTGTGGGATCTCTCACAAGAAAAAAGGGTCTCTTCAACTCAGTGAGGGGCCCTAGAATTGCACAAGGGATATCGTCTGCACAAGACCAGGGGAAAGCCTCACCTTTAGGAGAAGGAGAAAGAAAAAAGGGTATCTTCAACTCAGTGAGGTGCCCTAGAATTGCACAAGGGATACCGCCTGCACAAGACCAGGGGAAGGCCTCAGCTTGAGGAGGAGGAAGAAAAAAGGGTCTCTTCAACTCAAGGAGGGACCCTGCTGATTGGACAATGGAATGTCCAAGGCAGAGGAAGCCTCTACGAAGAGAGAAGGAGAGAAGCGATCTTCTCGCAAAGAGGGGCACCTGCATTGGACAATGAAATTGTCCAAGGGCAGGGGAAGGCCTCTACTGAGAGAAGAGGGGAAAGGGAAGGGTGCAAGGATTAAGGCCCATATGAAGGGGTCTATTTATAGCTAGAGAGGAAGTTATGGAGAGAAAAATTAAAAATAAAAAATTTCCCCTCTCCCCTCTCTCGCTCTTCCCTCTCCCACTTTCTCTCTCTCTCCCTTTTCCAAAAAAAAAAAAAAACCTCCACAGCAAAAAAAAAATAATAGTTATGGTGGGCGGTTTCAGCCAACCACCCACCGTGCGGGTTTAAGAAACCGCCTAAATGCGGTTCTTAAAAAAAAAAAAAAAAACCGCTTAAACTTGGCACCGGTAAAACCGGCTGCCTTAACCCGTGCGCCAAACGGCGCGCGTGTTTCAGCGCCCGGCGGCAGCGCTGCAGCCAGACGGCGGCCGCCAGTTCGGCCGTCTACACTGACTGGCTCTGTTTCGAGCCCGGACGCCCAATGCGACATTTTTTGGGTCTCCGGGACATGTTTTTCGACATTCCGGATCTCAATTTTGACACTTTCGGGACTTCAACAGGACCTCTATGATCAATGTTTGAGCAAGAATTTAATTTCTGGAACATTAAACTTTTCTTGCGACTCGGTCAATATGAAGGTCAAACACATATATTTTCGAATTTCTGGAGCGTCAAAGTCCGAAAATAAGGGGGCAACTGATACGTCGTCCAAAAAATTATCTATATCCGCACGAATCTCGATGCAAAATAAAGTTGAACTTCAAAAACTAATTCGGAGACCATCTGAAACTCCGATTACAGCCAAACTTACAGTCGAAACTGAGCGTCTCCGGAATGCGAACCCAACGACACAAAATTCAACTCGAATCGCCCAAATGGGTCCGCAATCATGGGACCCTAAGCGCTGTGGAAGAATTCAACCTCAATTTGAGATACCAAACGGTCTCCGATTTTAACGAGCTTATACTCTAATCGAACGGCTCGACGAGACGAATCCAACGAGCCCAAGATCGCCGAATTCCGACATCTCTAAGGCCTCCAAATGCCTTACAAACGGTCCATGATCAAGGGGTTCAATATCGGCCGTTCATCCAACCACTCATCATTTACCCTTGATCTCTCACCTATTTACGGGGCATGCCACTCCAGAAATCTATAAATAGAGCTCCCTCTCCTCTTGAAAAGAGGGGGGAAGCCTAAGGAAAAGAGAGAGAGATCGGAGATCGCTCTTGCTTCCTTGCCTCCTCGACCACCGCCGGACTTCCGCCGGACCACCACCTGACGTCGTTGCTCCGTCGGACCACCGCCTGACGCCGTTGCTCCGCCGGACCACCACTTCAGGCCCTCACCTCCGCCGGACCACCACTTGAGCCCCTCATCTCCACCGGACCACCACCTGACGTCGTTGCTCCGCCGGACCACCACTTGAGGCCCTCACCTTCGCCGGACCACCACTTGAAGCCCTCATCTCCACCGGACCACCGCCTAACGCCGTTGCTCCGCCAGAACATCACATGAGGCCCAAACTTCCGCCGTACCACCACTTAAGGCCCTCACCTCCGCCGGACAACCACCTGAGGCCCTCACTTCCGCTGGACAACCGCCTGACGCTGTTGCTCCGCCGAACCATCACTTGAGGCCCTCACCTCCACCGGACCACCACTTGAGGCCCTCATCTCCGCCGAATCATCGCCTGACGTCGTTTCTCCGCCAGACAACCACCTGAGGCCCTCACCTCCGCTGGACCACCGCCTAACGCCGTTGCTCCGCCGGAACATCACATGAGGCCCAGACTTCCGCCGGACCACTACTTGAGGCCTTGAGCTCCACCAGACCATCACCTGATGCCCACATTTCTCCCAGAATACTGCCGACTACGGTCCCTCCGACCTCCGTCGCCTATTACGGTCACTCTGACCTCCATCACAGGACAACGGTCTTTCAGACCACAATCTCCTGTCGACTACGGTCCACCCGACCTCCGTCGCCTACTACGGTCACTCCGACCTCCATCACAGGACAACGGTCTTTCTGACCACAATCTCCTGTCGACTACGGTCCTCTGACCTTCGCCGCCTATTACGGTCACTCCGACTTCCATCACAAGACAATGGTCTTTCAGATCCAGGTCTCCTGCCAACAACGGTCTTTCAGACCCTTGTCTCCTGCCAACTACGGTCCACTTGATCTCCGTCGCATACTACGGTCACTCCGACCTCCATCACAGGACAACGATCTTTCTGACCCCGGTCTCCTGCCGACTACGGTCCACCCGACCTCCGTCGCCTACTATGGTCACTCCGACCTCCATCACAGGACAACGGTCTTTCCGACCCCAATCTCCTGCCGACTACGGTCCTTCTGACCTCCGTCGCCTACTATGAACCGTCCGACCTCCATCAACAGACAACAGTCTTTATGATCCCGGTCTCCTGCCGACTACGGTCCTTCCGACCTCCGTCGCCTACTATGGTCCTTCCGACCTCTATTAACAAACAACGGTCTTTCTAACCTCGGTCTCCTGCTGACTACGGTCCTTCCGACCAAACAAGCATGTATATATAACTCCTACCATGTAATGCAATATATATGATGTATATTTGCTACATCAATACAAGGCCTTCTCCAAAGGAATGGCCTCATTTGTAATCGACTGCAATACTAGTGGATTCATTCAAGCTGGGCCAGGCCCCATGGTTTTTTCCCTTTTTCAGGGGTTTTCCACGTAAAAACTCTAGTGTCTCTTATGAATGTTTCACCCTCTCTCTTATCTGCTTGTGTGCTGGATCTTCGTACAATGCTAAGACGTTAAACCATATATTTCTCTACCGCCGCGAATATTCCAGGACGCAACAATTATGCTTTGAAATCGATTTACAACTTTCATAGCTCCATTGGTTAATTATGCAACAGTAACACAGTACTGTTGTTTAAATATATAATGCAATCCAGAAGAATCAATTTAGAGAAGTTAAATCTGAGAATTGAAAAGCTGCATCACATGCACGATGCAAATTAATAAAAATATAAGAAAAAGGAACATTCAACTTGATTGCACATGTCAAAATGGAAAGAGGGACGTCTATATATAAGGACTTGAATGGAGGGGTATATATAAAATTCTATGATTGGGGATTTTCATTTGATACTATGCATCTAGCATTGACAATTGGTGCACTGTGCAGACTCTACCGATTCATTATACGGAAAAATATAAGGCAAAGATACAAGGTAAAATTTTTTGTAATGTCTGAGATGGAAGCAAATTAATGGTACACAATGCTCACACCTGCAAATATTTGAAAAGCCACGATGGCCATGATATTGGACAGGCTTCCACAATTGCATAAACATATACAACAAAAAGGATAGAAGACAATGCATGAGCATTGTTGTAACAAGCGAAGAAAGAAATTCCTGACCATGTCTGAAGCAAATGCTTCAAATCAAATGCAAGACAACATCCATATGACGGACAAAGCAGAACATTATCCTTCGTTATCAAATAAGAGTTGGTATCCTTCATTATCACATCAGAAATGGCTGCTAAGCGCATCAAATGAAAGCCAAAAGCATTCAAACACATAATCCTGAGCTAGCTGGCATATATCTTGCTTTGCTAGAGAGGCAATCAAGATGAAATCACATAAGAAAAAGTCGTTGGAAAAACCTCAATATGTGCAACTATATCAGCAGCTGTCACCCTCGAACCTTCCTCATCTTTTTTTATGATCCATTGATAGAGTTTTTCCTGCAGTAGGTAACTTGTTAAAGAAAACATTGAAATACTAATAAAATTGACTCGATAAAAAAAAAACAAAATAGAAAAGCAAGGAGAAGTTCAGAGACAAATAATTTGCAAGGGCTCTGCTTGTAGCATCCTACTACAGACTGCAGATGTCTCGCATGAAAGAAATAAGGCATTGAAATGATGAGGTTGAGATTTGGTATAGGCTTGTAACAAGAAAGAACAAACCATGACCACAAGGTGCCTACACACACTATCCTAGTTAATAAAAATTAGAGGGCAGTTTCGGGTGGAACACCTATTTGCCAAATTAAGCCTAATATAGTAATGGTTAACAAGCCATCAATCCTAAAACATGGGCGTATTGATAAATGTCACTAAAAAAATACTAAGAACTCAATTCTCTTTATATTTGTGGAGAATATAAGAATTGTACACTCACATATACCTTTTCAAGTATTTAATACATAGCTAGAAGGTCATAATAGGTGAATTCATATCTCATGGACCTCAATAATGAAGACTCGCCAAAATGTCACCAACACCCAATTCGATAAAATAGAAGTCGCCTCCAACAAGAAAGCCAGCAATTCACACGAACCACTCAAATCAAGATTGGCCAACCAGTGAGAACCACTGGCCAAATCCATTCGCAATCAACTAGGGCAGAGTGCCATAATGACGATCACTTGTCAAGCTATGAGGAAGGACCTTCTCTTAAGAGGGTTCCAGCTCGCCTCACCACACTTAGCTAACTATAAAGTAGACTACACCGCAAATTGAATAGACTCGCCTCCCACATAAAAGCAATCCTGGGACTCTAACAAAAAAGTCACGACTGACTTCAAAGGACTCATCAGCTACAATCTTCTTAACTCAACCCTTGTCAGCAGACTCAACCAAATGCACTTACCCATGGCCACTCAGCATAAGGGGATTCACCTCAAGACAGAGGGGTAAAAGTTAAAGACAACCATTCATTAGGCCTATCAGAGCCTGATACGTGTTCAAGACAGACTGTACTAGGGGCTATTTAATGTTGTGCATTCTATTTCTATTCAATGCATTCTTTCCTACAACTCTAGGATCCGTATAAATAAAGTGTGAACAGTAATATTTTTTTATTTTTGGCAATGAATAAAGAGAAACTTAAGCTAATAAAACATTTTCCAAGGAAATTTACCCTTCTCTTTAAATTCTCACTACAAGTTCTCAGGTCATATCCCACTAAGATTGCCTATAAAACAAGTAGTGAAGAAGTTGCTTGATGTTGACTTAATTAGAGAAGTTCAATATCCTGATTGGATCTCTAATATAGTAATGGTGCAAAAGGCGATTATAAAGAGAGAATGTGTGTTGACTTCACTAACCTCAACTAAACATGCCCAAAAAATGGCTACCCGCTCCCTGAGATAAACTCATTGGTCGACTGGACAGCTGGTTTCTCAGTGATGAGCTTCTTGGATGTGTTCACTGACAATCATGAAATATGGGCCACTGTGAGAAGACCTTCATTTTAGGGAAAGACTCATACTGTTATAAGGTGATGCCGTTTGGATCAAAGAATGAAGGGCAGACATATAGACAATGTCTTCAAAGATCAGATGTTTTCGCCATGTTTGTCCGTAGATGATATTCAACCTTACCAACATGTGAGCCCTAAGGATACAAATGAGAACCTATGTGAGAATGAAGAGAAAGTGATGAGAAAACTCTATAGAAAGTAATCCACTAGCTCAAATATCTATACCACAAACATCAAAAGATGACAAAAGATCCAAAATACTCCTCTTTACCCTTTATTTACAAGTATCTAAGGATTGAGGGAAAGACTACATCAATGAAGAAATAAAAAATACATAAGATATGACTCTCCATATAAAATGCCTCGAACACGTGTTACATCTTGACGGGCTTGAAGAATGACTACTCATAATCCCATGGTGCCGAGAGCTTGAGGGTGAATAGGTGTGGTTGAATCTGCTGGCCAATACTAAATCACGAGGGTTGTAGCTGAATGGAGTTTTAAAGTTATCGGTACCTTTTGGTGGAGCTCTGAAACCTAAAAGTAGGAAGCGAGTGCATTTATGTTGTAAGGATAATGTAGATGCCCCTAATGCTAGAAATTCGCCCCAATTCAGCTACAACCGTCCCATAAATTTTAGCCAATTAGCAGTCTATGGCTATTCAACGTGTTGAGAATTGACCTTTTAGGACCTTCCCCATCATCCATCAGCCAAACTAAATTCATATTGTTGGTGATTACCAACTTTACCAAATGGATAAAAGCTAAGGCACTAGCCAAGATGACCTCTACTATTATTAAGAGCTTCGTATGGACATACATTATCTAGGAGTGGTGGCCGATGCCAACTTCAATGAATGTGACTTTGGCGAGTGGAGGAGAGGAACCAAAAAAGCTTGGAGATGGTACTTGTCCATTTGGAGGAGCTCCAAGCATAGCTCATGTTAAGACAGGAAGAAGAAAAGATGAGGATGGTCAAGTATTACAATACTCATGCCAAGAAGAAGTCTTTCCACTGAGGTAACAGTTCTAAAAAATTAGATGCAATCGCATGCCATTCAATATTGGGCAAACTACGGTCGACTTGGGAAGGTCATTACATCATTTAAAGGCAACTTAGCCTAGGAGTATACCAGCCATAGACTCACTCGGGAAAGAAGGTGCAAAGAAAGTGAAATGTTGATGACGTAAAACTCCTAAAACCTTGAGGGAGTTTCAACTGCATCCAACAATATGAAAACACTAATAATAAAGACTTTTTTTTTATTTTTGCATTTTATATTTATATTTTTCTCATAATCTCTACATCAACGAGTTACTAAGCAAGTGAGTTTGCAATTACAAACATACCCCAAACAAGAATAATGCACGGAGAACTCACCCCTTATAGAAAAGAAAATGGACAAGGAACTCACATGCCACCCCAAGCCTAAGTTATGTGCTCACCCAGCCACAATGAATGCCAGATCAAATGCTGGAGGAACTCACGTAAGCGAGTTGAGTGATTAGGAATTAAGAAACTAATTCTCATACGCCAAGCCACAAGCTGGTCAGCTCGTTTTCATTGGTGAGTACAATGAAACCTAGATTAAATCTTTGAGCATAAATGACTTGGGCATAAAATATCTGAAGCTGAATGACTGAGATAGAAACCTACAAAGTTCTTATCAAAGTTCAAGTTAAAGAGCAATTCAGACTACTTCTTATAGGCGAGTTGAGACCCTCAAACATAAAGGCCTGCGAGAGAGCCAAAAAACCCAAGAGAAAAAAAAATATCTTCCCAATGAAGTCAGCTCTCTATTTCTTGTCGTGTCACCCTAACAAATTGCACAGAAATTTGGTGAAGAGATAATGAGATTGCTTCTTAAAATCTTCTTTAAAGAGAGAGAGAGAGAGAGAGAGAGAGAGGGAAAAAGAAGAAAGAAAAAATCATTTTTATACTGTTATACACTTGTCGAATGTAGTAATTAACATTTAGAAATTAGTACTTCATAATAACTCACCTCACTACTTGTAGGAAAAAATCATTCATTAGTCTAGCCCTATAGGCCCACTCCCGCAATAAAAAAGACTATGTGGTTGCCCCCGTAAATACTAAAAGTTTGGCGTAAGACGAGGCCCACCCTAGGCAACAGCACACCAACTATATATCACATGTGAAACTCACTAAATGGCGAGTCCCAATCATACTGGCTTCTCTTCATGAAAAGGGATTATCTTTCATCCAAAGAGCTTACTTGTCGATTGCAAAGTTTGTTAAGCATGAGTCACTCATTTTGGATTGTTGAATCCAAGACTTATTGTATTTCAAAGAGTAAAAAGTTTGGTCAACCTAACTTGCTTGGTCATTACCGACGAGTTCCCTATCTACCGAATTAAGTTTTGCCAATATGTTATTATTCGGTTCTTGAAATAAGAGCCAAGTTCTTTAGTATTTAGATGTATTTTATTATTCTTATTCCATTCATGTCATATATTTATGATAAGTACTATGATGCTCTCAAAGAGCTAAGTTATCTAATTATTCAGTTATTACCGAGTTTGTCACTTAGGACAATTTCCTGGTCATATTTTGGCAAGTGTCAATGCAACCACAAGTTATTCCTGATGGACCATCATCAGACCCAATTCCTACACTACTAGAGCTCATTATCCTACGAATAATCGACACAAATTAAACCACATGAATTTTGAAACATGAAAAATTTTATGTAAAAGTGTAGATATGTTGCGACTATGCCGAGGGTCCAAGGGGGCGTTGCCCCCTGGCGGGGTTCGACCTGCCCGGTCAGGGGCAGCGCCCTTGGAACAAATTTTGATAGTAAGAATTGTTTTAAAGCTTTTTCAAGCTTCTCGGTGCCACTAGGTACCATTGGGTACCCCTCTGTACCAAGCACTACCGAGCGGTATCTAGTTCCGGTACCAAGCAGTACCGAGTTCCGTTATCGAGCGGTACCGAGTTCCGGTACAGCTCGGTATAGAGAGGAACTGAGTACCGAGCAGTACCGAGTACCGAACGGTACCGAGTTCTGATACCTAGCCTACGATTATGTTGACCTCTGTGTAAAGCACAAAAGAAACAAAAAAAATCAGATCAAACCTCGTATCCACGAAACCGGCCGAAATCCAATTGTTCGGCGCCGTCTGCGGCATGTCCCGAAAATATTGCGCACTTCCTGCATAAATCCCGCGACAACTCCTCGATCGTCGCCTTGTTCGTGTCTTTAAATAATGAGCAAATGAGGCCTCGCTGCTCACTAGATCCCGAGCTCTCCCACTGCTTACGCGAAATCTTCCCACTCCCGCAATCTCTTCTTCGATCGGAACTCTTGTTCGAAGCCTCTCCGACCTCCACATCCGATCGGACTCCTCCACCGCTCGGTCCTTAATCCTTTGGCACACACACATCCGATCGGACTCCTCCACCGCTCGGTCCTTAATCCTTTGGAGAGAGAGAGAGAGAGAGAGAGAGAGAGAGAGGAAGAAGGCAATGATTTAAATGAGTGCATTTTTCAACAATCTCTTCCTCATACGAGAGAGTCCTCCAAATTAGCTATCATTGCCTCTCAAACAAAAATATTTCAATAATATAAAATTTCATGCACCAATAACAATACCAAAAACAATAGAAACTATAAACACAGAACAATTCATTACATTCGAACCATCAGCTTCAATACTAGCTTGCTCGTCAACACTTAATCTAATTCAAATCATTAGTTTTAAACACCATTTCTTAGGAAACTGGAAATTGAGGAGGACGACAGAGTTGTGAAACAAATATATCAATCATAGACATCATAATAATGAAAATCTAAAAGTGTGTTCTTGTCAAAAGAACATAAAATGAACTATAAATTGCACCGTATTTTCATTATATTCCATGTTAAAAATATCTTTGATGTTAATTCTATTGAGAATGGTTGTGTTATTTAATATTTTTTACTTCCACTTTAGGTTTGACTAATTGTTGCAAATATCTCAATTGAATTAGCATCATGAATACTCATGATTTCAGCTTTTGAGGCCTGCAAGGATTTCAGAAATTTTCCACAAGCAGATTTCTCCTAAATGTTTTCTGTTTATCAAGATTAGAAATAGTCCCAAGAGCTTAAATTTCATTTTCCATAGTTAGATTCATGTAGTTTTCTTTCTATTACAGTAGATTTCCTTTAGATAATTTTATAAAAACATGTATTTAACATGAGTTGCTGGAGACTAGAGAGCCTAAATGAGAATGGGTTGTGTTTCTTCATCATTTTGACTTCTACTATATATTTGATTAATTGTTGCTATAGTTTATGTCAAACATATATATGATGCTTATCCTGTTAAGAATGGGTTATGCCCTTCAATATTTTGACTTCCACGTCAGGTTTGATTAATTGTTGCAAATGTCTATATTCATCAACATCATGAATAGTCATGATTTCAACATTTAAGGATTTCTGAATTTTTCAATATTCAGATTTCTCCTAAATGTTGTGCTTATTGAGATTAGCAACAGTCCCAGGAGCTTAAATTCCATTGGATTCATGCAGTTTTTCTTTAACAAGACAAGAAATTTCACTAAACAATCTTGTAACAATCTATGTTTAACATGATTTGTTAGTCCCCTGAGAGTCTAAATTCCGTTCGATTGCAATAGACAGATCTCTTAAAAAAAGCTAATGCAACAATGTCAGATAATATTGTTTCATGATTTGCTAAAATTTGAGCTTCCTAATTAAATCATTACTGCAACAGATGTCCGGGTAAACTATATGTAGGTTTGCTGTTAATTCCACCAAGGCTAGCCCATTTCCCAGATTGTGAAACACAAATATGGAAGTTAACATACTAAATAAAAAAACAAAAACATTTTGAAACATAAATCATGGTATATAAGAAATTAAATATTATAGTTGCACTAGAGAGCCCTTTTATTACTTTATCATTAATATGAGTTATTATATGTTCCTAAGATTTCATTATTTAGCAATGATTATTCTAGCCAAAGTCATGAAGTTTGTTAACAATTTATTAGTTCGTTAACAGTTTGTTAGCAATTTGTTGGTAGTTTGTCATCAAACATATGAGAATTATCATCATCTAATGACACTTTATGGCATGAATAAAATTCTTAATAAAGATGTGGAGACTAATAAAGGTATATAGGATCTTGATGGTGAAGGTAGCAACTTAATAGGTGTCATCATAGAGTGGCAGTAGAGGGGTTATGTGAGTAGTAGTGAAAAGGAAATTCAGGATTTAGACAAATTTGATGCAAAAACTTCTTTAGCTATGAAAGGGAAAATATTTCTTAGACGAAAAGGATGAGAAACTATAGATCAAAGTTTAGGATTTTAGGAAACTAGTTATGGTTTTATGCAGTAGTTAAGGAGTTGTGATATTTTTAATCCAACTTCTCATAATAGAAAATTATCCCCCTGTATTAATCTTTTAACTAGGAAATCTTATATTTATTAGGAAGTTGAATCCCTAAGAAGTTATGAGGCATGTGAGAGAATATATAGGAGAGTTTTAAAGAGATTGAACATGTCATGAAGTAGAAATGATCTTTCTTTATTAGATTTAAATGAGAATTTGACTTTTAACAAGACACAATGGAGAAAAAGGATTCATGTAGCCGACCCCGCATAGTGGGACAAAGGCTTGATGATGCTGTTGTTGTTGTTGTTGAAATAAGCAAATGTTAGAAGAATATCAGCTCTGATATCGCTCAATTACGACAGTGAATAATGCAAGCTTGTCTTCATATACACTATGGTTATTGTGAGCTCTATATTTTTCCCTGGAATTATTGATTTAAATATTTACCTTAAAATATGCCAGTCATAAATGAAATATGCTTGATGAAGACATGATTAAAACAACAATGATACAGACCTCATTCCATCTCAAAAGATTTGAAATGATATCAAGTGTAAACTAGGGTAAGGTGGAAATTGAAGCATGGATCATTATTATGTACAATAACAGGTTCGCAGCAAACATGTCCATGCCACAATCCTTAAATGTTAGAATTACCTTAAGCTGAATTATATGAGAAAATCGAAGATGATTTTGAAATCTCATCAATTAAGAATCACCACAATCAGCATACCAAAAGCACAATATTGCATTCAAAAACAATAGAAAGACCAACGGATATATAGTATACAAGCCTCCATCAATACGTGAAAAACGGGCAACACGTATTAGACAACAATGCTTATCTTCAGTATTAGGGCATTCTACAAACTAAAGTGCTTCATCCAAAGTCAAAGAAAGTTTCAGATTATATAACTACTCATGCCGCACAGATGAATATTGAACGCTTAAGCAAAAGTGGCAGATAAGCAAACACGAACATAAAAAAGGAATAAAAGATCTATGAACTGTCCCCTGCAGTCCAAAAGGAAGAGTTAAATCTAAGCAGTTGCATAATTATTTGAACGAAATGGGTTAAAGGGATACCTCTTCAAGAATCAACATACATTACGTGCCTATTTCAACAATTAAAGGATGGAGTTCTCCTCTATTACAAAATACTATTAAAAAATAACATGCAAGTTAGGTATTTAAAAGAACTACATCGGTTCTAACTACCAGCAGTTGAAATTTACAAAATTTCAAGGAAATGTTCATAGATCGATTAAAGCATCAAAGGAAAGAAAGAAAGGAGAGGTAGGGACGAACCAGAGCCTGGCGCTCACCGGCCTGAAAAGCGACCTTTTGGTGATTCATGGCATGGGTGTAGAGTTGAGAAAGCGAGTTGGCAGCGCTGCAGAAGGTCGAGTAAAGCGTACGATCAGCCTCGTCGAGAGGCGTTGCATCCGATTTCCTCTTCCTCGTCATCAATCCGATTGTATAATGACACCCGCCAAACCCTGGATAGGAGAGCAAAGAGAAACTTGTAATCCAAAATTCCAGAAGAACGGAATTGTCTGTTTAAATAACTACTAAGAGACAAACGATATCCACTAGACAGCCCAGCTGAGCAAGTGGGATTTCTCTGTGGCCCTGCCCGAATGCAAGACCTGGAGTTTGCCTGCAACAAAGCCATGCGCTACGTAACTTGATGTAAAGGCCAACCAGAAAAAGGTCACCATAGTATTTATTTTTATTATTATTATTATTATTTGTAAAGATCATCAAAATATAAATATTAAGAATTTTGATATCTCAGTCATTTTTTTTTAAATATTACTAAAAGCTTATTTAAAATAAAATTATTCCTGATATATTTATGTATTGCGTATTGATGCTCGTCCCAAAAGAAATTGGTTCGATTCTTATTTAAATATGATTTGAATCCGGGTTCAAACATTTTCTTGGCCTCCTTTAAACCTTGATTGGAAAACATTGCAAGAAACTTCAAACCTTGTTGGGAAGGGTTTGGGTGATGGATTGTTTGGAAAGACATCCTGAGTGATGGAGGTTGATTAGGAAAGCATTGTGGACTCAAGGTGTGTGAAGGAGCTCAATGGGGAAGGCAACAATGGCAAAACGTGCTTGCGAGGAGAAGAATTTGGACACCAATACTCATTGAGAAGGAACCACAATACCAACAGCATGATGAAGATCGTTGGGAAAGGCAATGAATGGAGTGACTATGTGTGAGGAGAATAGGAGTTCTCATGCAAACCCTATTGGGAAAAAGTATCACAAGATCACGACATATGATGAGTTCATTGGGGAAGAAGACGATGAGTTTACACAATAGAGCTCATCAAGGATAGAATCTCATGACCGATGAAGAACAACAAAGTTTTAGCAAAGGCTCGAACCATCGTTCAAACCAATATTCAAATTTGAATATGTTCAAACTAATTTATTTTTTAACATACTTTAACAAGTAGTTGTCAAATACTAGAGCATTAACTTTATCTAAAATGATGTATTTTCTCAAGAAAATAATTAGTGGATATATTTATCTAAATATGTAGGAATATAAAGTAAAATTTCACAAAAATAGAATAAATTAATATGCTTATGTGCTAGAAAGCTCATAATAATAGAGTAATATTTAACATCTTAACTTTACATGAATATCCCGCACACAGAACAATAAAATAAATATATGGCGCGTCAAAATTTTAATGTGAAAATTTTGGCAAGAAAAAAAATCATAGGGCTTGACTTATATGAATGATCCAATATATAAATAAAGATTATAATAACTTGTAATTCTCCTCTATCAAAGACAATGTTATAAAGTACAGATCTTCTATTGATGTAGTAGTAAATGCTACAGAAAAAATGGTGGATGATAATTATGACCAATGGCACGCAATTGAGTTGTTATGGTTAAGAGAAAAAAATTAAACTGTGATAGTCGGATGGTGATTATTTGATGATGGTAGTCAGACGATAGTAGATGGGTGACTGTGGTCAAATGATAGCCATCACATTGTGAATATGCAACATCAGTAGGTTGAATATAGTTGGATAATAGAAATTGTGAATGTGGTCGTAAAAATTAAACATCAAATGAGCTCTAGACTACTTCAAATATATAAGAGTTATCCAATTTCATCTCCAAGTCTCTTTCAAGTGGAGAAAGAGAGTATATTTATAATTTTTGGATAAGCATCTATGAAAGTTCGTGAGAGTTATTAAACCCTAAAGAACTAGTCCTGAGACTAACTAAGAGGGGGCGAATTAGTGATTTTAAGACTTCTTTAAACACAAAAAAAATCTCCATTTTTAAAACTTTTTTAATATCTGAAAATAGATAATTTTATCACTTGATGCGAAAGCAAAATAGTTTTACAATAACAAAAAATCTGAGATTTTCAACCATGCAGTTATCACAAAAATAAATGCAAAAAATAAAGTGCAAAAAATAAAATCAAGAACAAACATATCATAGATTTATAGTGGTTCTGTCAACCTGACCTACGTCCACTCCTCGGAGTTACCCACTCCAGATATTGCACTAAACATTTAGTGACACTCCTTTAGCCCCAATAACTAGGAGGAGAAACCCTAACAAAATCTCTTCCACCAACTCGGTGCGTTAAAGGATTATAATTCTTTTTCACCCTCCAAGATATGGCATATAACCATAATTCCTTTCACAAGAAGAGAACCTTGAATCGCTTTCACTTCCCCTGTATGGCGGAGTAGCCGAATCCTTTAACACTAAAGATATCTTCTTCTTCCCAAAACTTTTCTCAAGATAAACTTTGAATCTGATGGTACTAAGATGCAAGCTTTTCGGAGCAACCATGTGAAACTCCCTCCACACTCCCTTGAAACCCACAAAGATCTTCTCCCTTTCAAATTCCACCATTTCCTCTCTCCTTTTTAAGGCCTCTCTTCAAGTTTTCTCCAGAAGAACAGAGACTCAATGCATGTCAAAGACACTAATAATGTCTTTGGAGAAAACTTAAATTGAGGGCTTAGAAAAATCTTAGAAACTCAATTTTGGCATCAAAGATCATACAGTACGATCGTAAGATCGGCCAATACAATGTGCAGAACTTGAAAAATACTAGAAACTCAATTCTAGCTCTAAATATCTACTTGTACAATCATAGGATCGTCCAGTACGATATGCAGAATTTGATCTGATAGTTTTGGACGATCTCCAAATAGTCCAGTATGATCAAATCAAATTTATATAGATCGTCCAGTACAATATTAAGGATTGTCTTAAATGATTAGAAGAAAATGTATGGTATGTCATCTGAGACAATCAAGTATCGTCCCATGTACCTCTTGGGTCATCTAGTATGATCTTTACTTATCATTTTAGACGATCAAATTAAATAAATTAACCATAAATAGTACCTTAATCTCAGGATCAATCTAGGCATGATTTTTATAGATCGTCTAGTATGATGTACATTATCTTGGACGATTAGAATAAAATATGAAATTCAAAATATTATATAAATTGTGATTGGCGACTCAGTTCATTATCATAACGGATCATCTTGGATGATCTAAATCGTCCAGTATGATTAGTTAGATGAGCTGATCATATAATATGATATAAATCTTACAATACAATTAGTTTAAAATTTGAACATCTGGTTTTGACTCAATCTCACTCCCCCTGAGTGTGTGTATGGTCACCGAGCTAGCATACACCATTATAGGACTTGACTCAAGAAATCAAAAATACATTAGTGAATATTATAAAATCTTTATAGTATAGCTTATTATACCAAATATTGAGTCGTAAATCTTCGTTGGATGATGCATGATGTTTCTAAAATATTATTACACACACAAATAAAAATGTATTACAAATACAAGTAGACATAAGAATGTGAGACATAATATTTATTATCATCAAAAATATAAACTTGTGAGCTCGAGTTGCAACAATCTCCCACTTTTTTATGATGATAAACATTACCGATTGAATTTGCAAAATTAAAAATACTTTCTCCTAATCTCCCCCACACTAAGATAAATATATTAAAAATAGGGGAAATTAAAATTTTTTATATATAAACAAACAAAAAATAAAAAAAATTAGAGCCTAAACAACAGATAAACTAATATAAATATAATATGAGCATATGCAACTTAAACACAAATACAACCAGTTAAACACATTCTCCCCCTTTGACTTTATCAAAAAGAAGGAAAACACACAAAAAAAAGGAACACACATAACAAACTAAAGATCATACAGACTCTGATGAGGTGGAAGTAGTGGTGATGCTTAAGAAGAATCATTTAATTTCATGAAAAAAAAATCATAATCATGCATTAAAATATTCAACTTAGATTATTTGACTAGTGCCTTTGTATATAGTAAATAATCTATCTAAATATCTTTGCCAGTAATATATGTAGAGATTCTCATATAATCTTTAGAATTCAAAGCAAAAAAAAAAAGTTCAAGCATTTAGCATTTAATTGAGCATTAATTTGTTCTACTCTACTCCATTTAGTAAATAGAATATCAGTTTTGATTCCATCTATAATACGTGATGGTACATAATAGCTAGTTTGAATCATATTCCCCATTTGATAATATATTGATTGCAAGAAAGTGGACATGTTAATTATCCAAAAATTAAAAGAAATATTTTCAAATAAGGTGGTTGTGTGATTGAATAGCCTTTCACAATGTTATGATTTAAAAAGTTATCCAATGACCATTTTTTAAAAGTTTTCTAAAACTTAATCTATGAACCCTGCTTTGATACCACTTAAAAGTTTATGAAGGTTATTAGACCTTATAGAATAAGCCTGAGGCTAACAAAAAAGGGGGTGTGAATTGGTGATTTAAAAATTCTTTAACAAAAAGAAAATATTTTTAAATAATTGTTGCATAAGTGAATAAATTCATTGTAACAAAATAAATCAGAGTTTTTACCCACTGATATAATCAAAGAAAAAAATTACAAAAAATAATCAAAATGAACCTCTTGTTATAGGTACTGCACTAAACCTTTGGTGACTCTCCTTTGTCCCCCACAACTAGATGGAGAATCCCTTATAGAATCACTTCTACTTTCCCCGGTGGGTTGGAGTAGTCAGGTTCTTTGACACCAAAGAGATCTTCTTCTTTCCAAAACTTTCCTCAAGACAAATCTTAACTATGATGGTACTAAGGAGCAAGCTTTCCATAGCAACTATGTGAAACTCTCTACACACTCCCTTGAAACCAACAAGGATCTTCTCCCTCTCAAACTCGACCCATTCCTCTCTCCCTTTCAAGGCACTCTCTTAAAGTTTTTTTTTAGAAGAAAAACGGCTCAATGCATGATAAAGACACTTACCAAGTCTTTGGAGAAAGGTTAAATAGAGGGCTTCAAGAAATCCTAATTTTTAAGAATTTTGTCTTCTATTTTTGTAGCATAATACACGTATCACATCATACAATCAGTGTAATTTAAACTTATCCAACAAGTTTATGCAGATGAATTATTTAACCATTATAACATTTCATATAGTATGATAGAAATATCATACAGTACAAACTGTTGAATTTTTTTTTATTTATTTGGTATGACACTTGGGATGGATAACTTTGTACACTATCCATTGTCCACACTATGGACATCATACATTATAATTAGTATAAAAATCATGGATTTTATTTGGTAATATCTTTAGGATGACCAAATTCATACACTATCAATCATA